GACTCAGCAAATGCCTGCCAAGTACGTCAGGTCCAGGAGGAGAGGGATTGTGGCTCTGGGACATTTTTCCTTCATTCTCTTTCAGCAGCTGAACATACTTCCTTTCCATTGTCTTTTTGTGAGATGTTATCTGTGGCCAGCATCACAGCCACAGGAGAACAAGGAGGCAGCTTCCAGCAGGTCAGGTGTCACATTCAGACAGCCTCTTGACAGTCCAAGGGACTTTTCCTTAAGGTGCAAGTAAATCGGTAGAGTAGCTCCTACCCTAGCCATGCCGGGCCTTTGCTCCATCATAGTAGGCTGTAAAGGAATTTTTCAAAGAACAGTTTTCATTTATATCTCATGTCCCATCTCAGAATCTATGTATGGACACCATGACTTAACAGACTAAAGCATTTATCTTGAAAGAGGGGTCAGGAGAGAGCTCCCTGTAACCAAAGTCCTGGAAAGAGGGGATATTTTTAAAGGGGCAAAGGTTGTGTTTCCTGGAGAACCAAAAGCTAAAAGGTCTTAATTCTTCATAAGTTAAAATGCTAGTTTCTAAGTCAGATGACAGACACTGGCTGTGTTCCATCAGGGTTAGAAAGAGGAAATGTATCTAAATGGCAGCAGGAAGACTTAAAACTAAATGTGAGAAGCTCCTGACAGCAAGGGTTGTGACCTCAGCAGCATGTTGCTGATGTGGCCTGAGGAAGCTCTTCCTCCTGAGGCCATGAAAAGCGGAGGACACACAGTGTTCCCAGGCACGTCTCAGCCTCTTTCTCGGAGGCCGGCCTGGCTTGTTCCAAGTGATCGCCCGAGGTTGCCTTGCTCCGGGGCTGTGTCACATTTCATTTCATCTACTGTAGCTGGGCACAAGACGCCTGCGGTAAAAGTGTGTGATGGACAACTTGGGGCTGGCTGGATTGGGGAATGTGGGCAGATCTGACAGTCAGTCCTATCTAGGAGAAGATCCATACTCTCCTCAGGCCAAACTATACTTATTTTTGAGTCTTGGACTGGCCTTTCTAGGTTGTCAGTGGTCTTTCTACCCTTTTAACTTTGCATAGGAGACAGTGTATACAGTCATAGCAGTAACTGTTTTTTGGGGGGTTTTTTTTGGTATCAGGAATTGAACTCAGGACCTTGCACTTGCATGGCAGGCTCTGTGTCACTGAGCTATATCCCCAGCCTGATTGCAGTAGCTTTTGTTAAGCTCTTACTGTGTTCTTGTTACTGGGCAAAGCACTTTAGACGGCCCCTCCCACCTGCTCCTCCATACCATTCTACAAATACTATTATTATGTCCATTTGATAAATAGAAAGACTAGGGCTTTGAAAGTGTAGGGACCCTCGGGCCAGGATTCCAGATGAGAAGAAGCTACACCCTGGTGAGTTTACTCAGTCCCATCAAGGTTCAAACCCAACTTTCCTTAGTGAAGTAGTGATGACAAAACTTTGGGAGCTATCAGTGATAACAAATAGTCCACCACAGCACACATGCCACAGGTTCGCTACCACTGCTATACTGCAAAAGTCTTGGGCACATTACTTCCACTTTCTGAGCTCAGTTCTCTGAAAACAATGACTATGCATCTCCAAGGGAAGATTTTCTAAGATGAAGTCTCCTGTGTGGTATTCGACATGCAGGAGGTGTTCCGTTTGTTCATTCTCTTACCCCTGCCTTTTCTGTCCCTTTCCCTGGGCTTTTCTTGGTTTGAGTTATTCCTTCATGATGTCCCTGGTTCTAGTCAGACCTCTCTCAGTGACAGGCAGGGACATTTTGCAGCTCAGCATCCCTCTGACTGATGTCAATTGCTAATTCCTTAAATTTACATATCATCTTTCTTCCCTGGAGCTCATAGCACTTAACAGACAAGTGGGGCACAAATGATTTAACTAAGTGAAATCCAGAGGCCTGCTTGTCTGGAGATTCTGCAAACTGGTGGATTAGCTCAGATGTCAGTGCTGAATTATGATCCTTCAGCTGCTCGTGCTTAGCGCGCCACCAGCATTAACTCCTGGTCTAGCAGTGGCCTCTAAATCATGCACAGTGATTATCATTCCGTTGAGAAAGAGGGGGAAGAGAAGACATGAAAGAAGGGAGGAGGGGCTACTGAGGGTCCCTGGAAGACGCTGGCCCTGAGACCTTTGGCAATAGCGGGCTGGGTCAATAGAAGAGACCCAGGTAAAATCCAGTCGGTCCCTTCTTCACCACCCAGCACACATTTTACTTACCCTGTTCCACCCATTATGCTGTGCTTCCCCTGCACGTAAGAGTGAAAAGTCACACAAGTGACAGTATTTCTGCCAAGAGATTTTCAGGCAGCAAGTGGGTCTTTTTTGTGAAACTGAAGGAAGAATGCTGTATGATAAGTTTCTGAAGTCTGATTTCCTTTAGCACTGAAGTGGAAACAGTCACAGGGCTTGGAAATTATCGAGAGCGTAGGAGCATTTTAGGTGTTCTCCCTAGTGTCTCAGTTCACTGGATCCCTCTGCAGGTCACCCTGTTATTAATTCACCTCACCTTTGAAAGGGGTTGGGGTCTCAGGAGAATGGAAGGAATTGTGAGGGGATTATGTGAATCCAAGAGATGGCCAGAGGCTAGCTGATTATCCCTCCGTCCTCACAGTGTATTGCTTCATAGCACTATTCCTCTGTGTGTCATGTATGTATGCGTGCATGCAAGGAAATAACATTCTGTAGGGAAAGAGGGAAAAGAAAAGGCTGTATAAACTTGGTATGCACAAGGTCAGAACCCGACAATCTTACTGTAGTAATAAGAAAGGCTCCCACCAAACCGTCAGGCTATAGAGCCAGGTAGTGTGGGTAGTTACCTGCAGGAACCCTCAGAAAATGGCTTCATGTCCTTTAAAGGCAGGTAAAATCAGTGATACCATCATTAAATGCTAAAGTTGTTGAAAGAAGAGGAGGAATGTTAATGTTGCTTGTGTCAGAATGGTTAGGAAAACAAGTGGTGCAAGAGATGTGATAGGTGGAGAATTGGGGAGTGAGGAATAAGGAAAGAGGAGAAAAGGCCGCAGCAAACCCAGTGGGGAAACTGTTTGCCTCAAACGAAGGGGGATGGGTTGCAAGGTCCTGGCCCAGGCACCCACAGGCAGCTGAAATAAAAGAATTTAATGCAGAAAGATGGGAAAACCCTCAGTCTAGGCAGTACCATGTAATCAGCCCTTGGACAAGATGCTTTCATCTTTATGAGCCTCAACTTCTTCGTCATGAGCAAAGATTAATAATCTCCTAGCTCATAGCATATAGCAGATGAAATAAGGCATACCAGTGTGCTTTGTAACCTGTAAAGCACTATGCAAATATGAGTTATAATTATTATCATTAAGAATGGTGGCAAAAAGATCTCATGGGGGAGTGTAGATTTAGAAGATCACTGTTACTTGTGATATCTGGATCTCCTCCCTCACAGACCCCCATCATTAAAATTCTGTCCCGGATACAGCTGCCTCTTAGTTACCTGTGCTATCTTGGCCTTGAAGAGGTCAGGTGTTATAGGGTATGAAGACAGACCTGGCTGTGGATGCAGAGAAAGCGCAAACTAGAATCCCACATAGCATCCTCAGCAGGGCTCCTTTGACTCCTGAAGCAATAATCCCAGAGGGTCTAACAATAAGAAGGGCCTCGAGGGAGCCAGAACGGTGGGCAAGGCAGCTGGGAATTGACAAGGAAGGAGCTCTTTCTGCGCTGCTGACAGGTTTGTCTAATCGCTCACCTGGATCTCAGCAGGAATGATGACAAACAAGCGATCAGTGTGGCATGGACTCAGGGCTCAGGAGTCCTAGCCTGTCCTTCCCTGACAACCCCAGGATGTTCACAGCCCTTGTGGAGTAAAAAAAGTCTCTGTACACATCTCAGACTAACACAGCATCACATTAACGTGACACTGAGATGTCCTGTGTGCCCGCATTCTGCACTGGGCATGTAACAGCAAAAACATGTTTCTGGCCCCTTGCAGAAGTTTCAGCATAAGATGCCCCTGTCTTTCTGGGCTGAAAGCAGGTGGTGAGAGTCCCTCCTCAGGTGCACCTTGCTCTCTGCACAAATGGCCAGAATTCTGCACATGCTGGAGTTGAAAGTGCCAACCTTGGCACCTGTGTCTGCAAGGCATGTGGCTGCCAGTGGTAACAAGACCTCAGCCTAAAGCATAAGAGTCTGAGTATTTGAAACCAATCCACCAGAAGGGCCATTCTCCAAACATTTGGGCTGGTAAAGCCATAGTTTAATAGAATACATATATCCTGTGCCAAACACATAGCCTTTGTTAGTGCTAGTAACCTTATATTTATCATTGGACCTGTGTGTGTGCCCAGCTGCTTGAGAAGGGCCAAGTTCAGGCCCCTCAGGGTGTATAAGGAATGGAGTGAAATATCAAGTCCCCTGAATTACCCTGCTCAGCCACTCCCTGTTCTGCTTGAAGTTGACACTGGCTTCTGAGCTGTGGTCACTGGAGTCCAGGGATCATCTAGCAGCATTAGCAGGGGCAGAAGGTTTTAAATGTCTTCCATTTGGACAGTGACCAGCCAAGATGACAAAGGCCTGAAGCACAAACCACCTGGCCAGAGTCACCCTTCTGCCTAACAACCGCCTCAACCCCTGTAAACCGTTCCTTGTAATCAGTTCATTAGACCGCATTGACCCTGTGGGTACGCCCACAATGACTAAGATGTGAGTCTGGCCTCCCAGAATCTAGGGAGAGAAGACAAGCCCGTACTCAACCAGTCCAGACATAGGACTGACACAGAAATAGGAAGAACCCTGTTTCTGTGACCATGTGACTTAGAGAGACTTAGAAAGGGCTTCGGGAGGGGACAGCACTGGAATCAGGACCCTGAAGGAGCCCTAGAAAGAGATAAGGGCTTGGAGAACAAGAACATGAATAAATAAAAACAGCCAAGCAGCAGTCCCAACTTTCCATTGTAGGAGCCACAGCTGCAAACAAGTGTCTTTCCCTGGCATTTACCAGGAATCCCTGTTTGGGTTTGTTTCCCCAGATGACAGGAATTTCTTGCGGATGCAGAGTGACAGCAGGCAAGCCGGCCAGTATGGGCGGATCATCAGCCCGCCAGTGCACCTGCCTCGGAGCCCCGTGTGCCTGGAGTTCCAGTTCCAAGCCACGGGCGGCCGCGGGGTGGAGCTGCAGGTGGTGCGGGAAGCCAGCCAGGAGAGTAAGCTCCTGTGGGTCATCCGTGAGGACCAGGGCGGCCAGTGGAAGCATGGACGCATCATCCTGCCCAGCTACGACATGGAGTATCAGGTGGAGTGGTGAGGGGAGTTGGTGGGGAGATGCTAGGGAATCGCTGTGATCCCCGTTCCAGTATTTGAGAGGGCCATGCCCATTCATCATTAGGGACATGGTTAAGCCCTGCTGTTTTCATTGTGCTTCTCTGGTTGCCATGGCAACTAAATGACACTCTTATTTGTTATTCAGAATGTGCCTATCTCTACACCCAGACTTGGTTCTTTGTTCCTCCTATTGCCTTTTATATTGCTGAAATCTTCTCCAACAAATGTTTCTTCTCTCCATTTTATTTTAGATTGCTATCAGGTAGGCTGACAAAGGAGCACAAAGCACAGGGAAATAAACACAAACAAACCCTCCACACATGAGGGAAGGGGCTGTGGAACCCCTTGGAATCCAGGAGACGGAAACAGGAACATCAGCACCGGGAGGGGCACAGACGTGGTTTGCACTCCTCAGCCAGTGGACCTGAGAGAGTCCTAACCACTGCAGGAATTGAGTTCTATTATCTCTGCCCCACAGAGCAGGACACCGAGGCACAGATGGGTTCACGCAGCTGTAGCTGCGTGTCAGGGAGGAGTAGACACACTGTGGATGAGGTGACTGAGAAGCAGCCAAAGCATTAACCTGCTCCTCCCCAGACGAGGAACAGCAACAGATGGCTGGAGAGGCAGCCAACTGCTCCTCCGCCTGCCAGAGGACACGCGCTGGTTTACAGAGAGAATTGAGGAGGGAGAGGACGAAAAAGGATCGGAGACCACAGAGCACAGGTCTTCTGCGAACAATCTTTAGCCACCCTCTCCTGGGGTTGCAAGACACCCTGAGACCCTGTGGTCCGTGCTTGGGTTCCCACTCATTAACCTCATCCTTGTCTTATAAGTACCTGTTTGCATTTTTATCACACCCACCAGATGGTGACCCTCTCAGGCAGAGGTCTTCATGGATTTTGTTACTGTCCTTCTGCCGGGCACAGAGTGGGTGCTCGGTGAGCCACTGGGAGAGGGTAAATTATTTCCCTCCCAGTTGAAATAATGGGGCCCCAAGGAACATCACAAGAAAGTCCAAACCTGTAGGCTGTGTTTCTCACAGCACCCTCACCTGCTCACATCCTCTGGGTTTTCGTGCCTGGTCTGGGCATTTGGAAGATTTATGAGAAGGAACCTGAGAAATAGCTAGGGAAATTTCAGCCTCCCTTAAAACACACCCTGATCATGGTCCTTTTAATCAGTGCATTCTAGTTACTGCACAACAATGTCTGCCACCTTATTACATTTTCTTATACCCTCAAATATGCATTTAATTTGAACCAACTCTTTAAATTAAGATCTCAAGAGCTGTTGCCATGTGGTCAACAGATGTGTACCAGGTGCAGCAGCAAGCACGCGCATACACACAGGCACACGTTAAGCTGCAGTTAACAGAAAGCTGAAAGTCTTTGCATTTGGACCAAGAAGTTTAGTTGACCATGGCTCTTGTTCTTCTGGCTTCTAGATTGTGTTCGAGGGAGTTATAGGAAAAGGACATTCAGGAGAGATCGCCATTGACGATATCCGGATAAGCACTGACGTCCCACTGGATAGCTGCATGGGTAGGTGACTGCTTGTCTCTTTGTGGCTCTTTTAAATAAGACACCAAGGGTTGGGATAGACAAGAGGAGGCAACTGACCATTTCCAAGCAGTTGTTCCAGTGAATAGGCCAGCCCCAGTCTGTGTAGGCAGTGAGGTGCGTGTAGTCATACCCTGGACTGACGTCAGGGTGAAAGGGTTGAGGGATGAGGTGAAGGCCTGCGTACAAATTCCTGGTCAGAAGTAGATGTGCACTAAGTATATGAGGATTGAGGGTGCCAAGACCCCTTCACCAAACTCCGGTTTTTAGCAAAGAAAACGCTACAGAGTGAGAGCAGCTGCCAATCAGAATTAAACATGGGAAAGTTTTGACGGACTTAATGGAAGCCTTCAGTGGTGAGCAAAAATAGTATACACGTTATATAAGAGTAATAACACATTTACCCAAGGCATTGTCTTCCATGAATGAATTTCAGAGGACATCACATATGAAGTGAGATGGTACATTTTGCTTTAAATCTCATACCACTAATACCCAAGACCCTGGAGTTGTAGGATTATACACTGCATACCAGGTGATCAGCATAGAAAGGACACCATTGCTGCCACCTTGGTCAGAAGTGCTGAGCAACAAGCCCTCCTGAGAGTCACACATTTTAACCAGGGCCACATACTGCTGAGGGTCATCCCAAGAGCACTCTGACCATTTTCCCTCAGGGGGACAGACATTCCCGAGTAAGAAGGAACTCCTGAGAAGGATAGGAACCTGCTTTCAGTCAGCACAGGGTCTGTAACAAGTCCCCAAGGCCTACAGGTCCCAGTTGTGTATATGCCTAATAATGTCAGAGCAACTGAGATCGCCCCATTCCCCTGGGCAACCCTCAGGACCTGGGCATCTGAAAGTAATCCTGGCTCTGAGAAAGTAATCAGTGGTAAGTGACTGATTATAATGCTTCTGGGACCCATTACTCTATGAAGGACTTTTTGTTCCAAAGCAGTTTTGAGAATCCTCTCCACCTACCTGAACCCCATGGTGATGATATGTTGGACACAGTTGAGGACACCCGGCAGATATGGGGTACTTTCCATATCGTATCTCCAAATACGAAGCTTAATGGAAGCCATCACAATCATTATGTCTACCCAGTTATTTCTTTCCTTCATCTAACTCAAATTTTCTTGTTTTCTTTCTCCAGAACCTATGTCAGCTTTTGCAGGTGAGAATTTTAAAGGTAAAAAAAATTTTGTTTGGCATGCCTTTTCCTTCCCCCATGTGATGTGGACTTTGTGGTGGTGGTGATGGTGGAGGGGAGGGAGTAAACTTCCAAATTTGACAAAACTCCACAAGAAAACACATGCCTCACCTTCCCACCACTAGATGGCACCAACAACACCTGGAGATGCGGGGATTGAGATCCTGGCTGTCTTTCGTTTAATTAAAGTTTAGAAACCTATAATAGAGACAAATAGGTTACAGATAAACCTTTCAGCCTTCCATTGTCCAACGGGGAGCAATGAGGCTGAAAATTCAGGAGCAGTGAGAAAGGAGAGACTGGGAAGACTGAACCAAAGGGAAAAAAAAATCCGTAGTAAATTAAAAATGAAATGAGGTGGCAAGGATTTATTTTGGCCTGAAGATGGTTTTTCTGCAGCTCCAGGGTACCAAGGCAGCGGTTTCAATTAACCCCAGAGAGGTACAGAGGCTGGCAGCTTGTGAGGGAGGAATGCTAGGAACAGACACCAGAGCAAAAATCATTAGGAAGAGTTGGCCAAGTCAGAAGCTGGAGTCTGGCAAAGGGGATAAGGGGCGCATTCAGTGACAATAAGAGCACTTTAAGTGCAGGACTGGAATGCAGAAAGGATGGCTTCTCTTAAAAAGTAAACAGAGAGCAGAGCAAGAAAGACTGATTCGGGACGTGTGCCTTATTGGCAAGGGGAAGGCTTCAGCTTTGGGTGATGGTCATTTTGTGCTGCTCTAATGCAATGGGTTCTCCATTCGGTCCTCCTTGTAATCCAGCTGGTTGACACCAAAGTTTCTATACAGGTTGCTGATGCTAAACACTTAGGAGCTGCTCCAAATGCTTACCTGCAGTTGGCCAGAGTGCAAAACACACTTGGAGACACCATCACCTACGGACAGGGAGTTTTCAAGACCTATTTGGTGTGAGCAATCTGAGGGCTAGGGTAACCTGTTGGGAATGGCTGGGCCAAGCCCTCTAGGGGACAGCATTTGAAAGGTCAGATAGCCATTTCTGTGTCCCACGTCTGCGCTCAATATCTTCACTCTCATTAACCCCTCCCACCCCTGGCAGAAAGAGGTGAATTGCTGGTTTGCCACCTAGATGTTCTCCCTGACTCCAGATCATTGTACCTGACTTGCCACTCACCACTCACAGCTCTAAGACAATCAGTGAGGGAGAAAGTAACAGCATAGAGGAAAATAACAGAGTCGTATGGAACAAATTTTTCTTTCTCTCTTGCTATCCCTGTTCTCCCCAAATTCTGTGCAACTGCCTGTTACACATTTTATAATATCAAGATTATTCCTGTCCATGTATCAGTGCTCTCTGTGTGTAAGATTTCTGTGATTGCAAATCCAAAGTATTAGAAGGAAAGTTAAAATTCAAACTGAACAACTTGGGTTCCTATTTAATTCAAGTTCTAAGCCTCAAGACCCAAGGTAATGCTTATGCGGGGGAAGTAAAACCTGCTCATACTGTTTCCTCCGACTCTTTGGGTTGTTGAGACTCAAAGTTCCCAGAAAGGCTGGCTCAAGACGTGCTGGCAACTGCCACAGAGACGCTATTCTGTGCACGCACCGTGTCGGGTCATGACTGACAAGCACGATGGCTGAGGGCTTTGCCTCCGTGAGAGAATGAACAAACCAAGCACATGTGCTTTCCTTGAAGCCATGTGTGTCACGGGGCTGCACGGGCCAGTCATGTTCACTTGTGAAAATACCTAAATCTAATCCAAGTGGCAGTGCTCATTTGGCCAAAATAAACACAGGGCTTAGTAGCTTGAAGGTAAGAGTTTCCAGTGCTCTCCTGATGGGTACCCAGGGCTCTGGGGAGGCAGGGTACAAGCTACACAGGGTGACCCGTGGTCGCTGGAGTGAAACTGGTGAGCGTGTTTGGAAAGAGGCAGCCGAGTCTTGGAGAGCAGAGACTCAGCCAAGAACACTCAAGAGCAGAATCAGAGTCGAGAAGGGACACTCTTGGTCACACTGGCACATTTTACATGGAGCTTCCAAGTCGGGAGCCAGATAAACCCAGGGCCAGGGGGTCACATCTTTAGGGCCTCGGGGTGTTTGACTTCAGTGTGCTTCCCTGTGTATTCGCTCAAGCAAAATTTTCAGCTTGGGAGAGGAAAGAGGACTGTATGTGTCATCTGACCTAGTGCTGCATATTTTGATCCAGGTCTGGGTAAAATAGCAGGGCCCCTCTCTCTTGGTCAGGGCATAAAATTAGTTTTTTCATTCAAAAAGTGGAAATAGAGAGAAATCAGATTGGAGGAGGCAAGATATGGAAAGTTGGTGCTGAAAAAACATTAACAAGAGGCGTTTACATTGTTACTATGTTTTTTGAGTTCAGGTTGCTTTTCTTTCCCATTATAAATTAACATTGAAACAGAAGTAATCTCATTCATTAGGAGAGATCAATGTGTACTCAGTAAACCTTTAGGGAAATGCAATAAAAGTGGCCCTTGGACCTGGGCTTATTAGGTGTTCCTGATCTTTTATATTTTGAAGTGTCTTTCATTTTCTGGCTTTTACTGATTTCTTACCATATCACATTGTGTTTTTATTCTTGCCTTTTATGCTTCCTATATACACATAGGTTGTGTACCAGGGTGTGAGTTAGTGCTAAGGAGAGGCCATGGCGAGGAGAGCTGTGTACAGAAGGGAGGTGGGGAAGAGAATGAACCAACTGTGTTGTCATGCAATTTTTTAGAAGACCTTTTTGCTGTTGTTATGAGTCACGTCTTAAACAATATAACCTGGGAGTGCACTTTTTTCTTTTCTTTTTTATAAGGAGTGACTATAAACACTGTGCCGTCATGTATCTTTTCCTGGGATTTGAGCTTTAACAAATGAAAAACTGTGCATAAAGGGAAAGGGAAAAAAAGACTGAAAAGTGGTGTAATTAAGGTGATGGATTATTTCCTCTTACCCAATACTTTCTTTTTTCAATAAAAGAGAAAAGAATAAGAAAGAAGCCAGTAAAAATACAGAAAGCCCATGATCGGAGTTCTGCCGTTGTTGACCGGGTGATTATTTTTAGCAGCTCACAGTGCAGACCAGAGTTTCTGTTTGCATTGGAGGCTGTGGGCTTTGCAGGCAGCAGGAGCAGAGAGACAGGCTGATGCTCACCTGTTAGGCAACCTCGGAAACCCAGGTGAGGCTGCACTTACATCCCTGGTGCTCAAAGGAACAGCCATGCTGGTAGACAGCTGTGGACCTGGGTTTATACCTATGATCATATCAGACAGCACTACACCCCATCTTTTGGGTTTCACGGGGTGCCTTTCTGCTGTCCTCCTTAATTTTCAACTGGATAGAACCTGGAGAAAATGAGCATCAAATGCATTTTGGGGTGATGCTAGAGTTGGCTGGCGATCTATGCCTCAAGCTTTGGGCTCTGTTTGCTTGGTGCTCCTGGCCAATTTCTGCCATTTCCTACTACTTCTCTTCCCACCTCCACCCTGCCCTTCATTGACCGCTTTCCAGAGGCTCTGCCCACCAGGGCCACATCCCACGCCCCAGGACTCAGGCTCAGGACCTGGCCTCAGATTGACATCCTTTCTCCTTGGATTTCCTTTTCCTCGGGGCTCCCTCTACTAGAAGCACTTGTGAGACAAAGAGCGCGTTAGCTAGTGTTCGTGTGCTTAATCCTCTGATGAAAGGCAGAGAAGTATTCTTAAACCTTGCCAGGGCTCCAGATAGGCAGCCATGGTGTGTGAATCCTCTCTGCTGCTCCTCCCCCCACAGTTCCAGCTGCCAGATTAATGCAAGGTGTTGCTGAGCTGGGCAGGAGGGAGATCAGACATGTGAGCCGCACAACTGCTTGCTGCTGTCCTCGCCCACGTGAAGGGGGGGGTGTTCTAGTGTGCATGCTGCTTTCCTGTCCCGTCCCTGCAAGTTGCTAGCAGATCCAAACGGTTCATCTAAACAGCTGCCCGGGTCAGTTTGAGTAAGGGCAGAAGAAAACTTCTCCTTCCAAGAACACAAAAGAAAAGCTTTAGTTTAAAGAAGGTTGAGAAGTGTCTGAGACATCAGCCAGCCACAGAATCTGAATTTAGAAGCATTTTAGGTGGACACAGGGTAGGGAGGCAGATGGGGAGGCCCACACAGTTTCTGCTAGCTCACTGAAAACTTCCAGTCACCCTCTCACCATAAAACAAGTGGGGAAAGTCATTTCTCAAGGATGCTTTGACTTCAACATTCTTTTTCCAAACAAATTAAAGGGTGTGACCACATTTTTCTACTATCTTCTATAAACTTCGCTAGAGGAGCCAACCTTTTTCTGTTGTTTATTTAATCTCACAAATTAAATAAACCTTTCTCCTGAAATCTTCCATCACCAGCCCTTCATTTTCAACAGGTACAGAAAGGAGTCCTCAGGCAGGCGAGGCCTACATGATTTTTATGTGTGAAGAGCCTTTCCTACTCGCAGAGAAGATTCATCTTTGGTGTCTTTCAGAATATTTCTTTGGGGAACTTGGGTGCCTCTTCCAGGTCCCAGTGACTTAGCTGTGGCAGATGCATTCTCATTTCAGGGACGTGGTGGGAACCGGATCTGAGGCACAGCAATCCTCAGTCAGGTTCAGAGTCGGAACTGACCTGGGAAAGGACCACTTCCAGTTCTTTCCCCACTCTCATTTAATGGAAGGCAGATCATAAATATTTCAGGCTTCAGAGGAAGGACATACAGTCTCTGTTGCAAGTACTCAACTTTGTCACTGTAGCACAAAAGCAACCGTAGGCAATAGGCACACACGAGAGGATGGCTGCATTCTAATAAAACTTTATTTATAAACTGAGTTTGTCTCCTTGAGTTGTAGGTAGCTCACTGATGGGTAAGAATGTAGGCTAAGGACTTAATTCCCTGGTTCCAGTTCTGGCTCTGCCACTTGTAACTGTATGGACATCTCTTGGATTTCACTATGTTCTGTTCTACCATCCTTCTCTATTTTTCTCTAGGTGAAACCCAGAGAAAATCACTTATTCTCTCAAATCCTCATATCTATTACTTGAGGGTCAGGAAAAATAAACAATGATTCATAGGTAGCCCAGAGACCAATGGCTAACACAGAAATTGTCCACTCGATGTAGCTATGGTGATAGCCATATTTCTAATTGCTCACTAATCAGTGACCCTATTTATAAATAGGAGTGGAAGAAACACTACCTAACATTCAATTTTTTCCTGTCCATGGCTTCTCTGGATTTATTGTTTTCCAAAATTCAAATTCTTTGCATTCACATTGCTTTTCTCCAGGGGCTTAGAACATTTTACAGATGGAAGCCTGTTCGACCTTGCAAACGCATGTGAAGTTATTGGTGATTTAAATAATTTGCTTTTCATCACCTCAAACAATGAGAAAACTTTGTGGATGATTAGGGGTGAAAATTAATGAAAAATAGTTCAGGAATGGAAAGCAGTTTCCCAGTGGAAAACAGAAAGATATGTGAGTGAGTGAGTGGCAGACGTTAGAGCAATCGAAGAGAAAGTTATACCAGCACATTGCCAGCTCCAGGAAAGGCTGAAGTCTCTCCAGCATTTCTTCTCCAGGCTTGGAGTAACTTGCCGGCTTTTTTATTGTAAAGCAATGGCCCAGATACCTTATAGGAATAAGGCGCAAATGGGGCTAAAATCAAGCTATTCGTCAACCTGGGAACCTGATGCGGGTGGCATCTGCCCAATGTGGGCACCTTTTCCCATCTATCTCATCCAGGTACCATAGGGATGAGCCACATCTCTAGCACTTTCTGTGAAGTACCAGTGGGTCATCACCATTTTCTGGGGAGTCTGGACATTCATCTAAAATGCATTCCTCTTACTGTCCATCTGTCTATCCATCCATCTATTCATCTGTCCATCTATTCACCCATCCATCTGGCATTCATTGGATGGCTCCTCTTGTCTGGAAAGGTGCTTTGGGTAGGGTTTAAAACCCCAACTGACTTATCATTTTCTTTTTCTGTCACTTGCAAACCACAGCCTTGTCTGCATACAGTCCTTCAAGTCTGGGACAGAACCAGGTTCTGATCCACCAAGTACTTTTGGAGTTGAGTCTCTTTAGCCAAAGGATGTTCTTAGAAACTTGTGGCCTCCAAGTGCAAGTCATCCAAAAATTCAAGGTGACTCACTGAGGAATGAGAAAAGCATTGTTAGTTGTATCCTCTTTCTTTTCACCCTCTTGACACTGAAAGCATAAATTTATATAGTGTATTTTCTCATTTTTCCAAATACCTACCCAAAGAAAACATTTAAGGAGGCAATATAATGTCCTCAAATGGGTTTTGTCACTAATGTCTTCTACATGTCCGTGAACTTGGGGAAGGGGACGTTGGCAGAAAGGTGAAGATGGTCTTATACTAAAGAGGAGTCTAACTGCCAAAGCAGAGGACAATTTGAGGCAGTGGGTCTGTCCTTGCCATTCTGAATATGCAGTCTGCACATTGTGATTTAACTTTCCTCAAGTAAGAAGGCAGATTCTCCCACTAAGCCCCAATTTTCTATGATCAGAAATGCTTTAAGAGTAGAACTGAGCAGCTAGGGATATAGCCCAGCGGCACAAGTGCCTGCCTGGCAAGTGCAAGGTCCTGAGTTTCATTCCTGGTACCAAAAAAAAGAGTAGACCTGAGGTGTCATCCTTCCCCAGCCCAGCACCTTGAGCCCTGCATGGTGTATTTAATGTGGGAAACCATCATTTTGACTAAAGGACAGCAAACTTTTGAGCTGACATTTGTGGTAATGTAGGGAACATTGATAGTTATGACCGTGTTCTGCTTGACAAAAATTTGCACCCCTGCTTTTGTGGTCTGGTCAGATACTTCAGAGGGGGGCTTTTTCACTGTGGATTTGCCACCTTCCTTCCTCTGCTGGGTGAGCCACAGCCTCCTTAGAAGATGGCCCTCACTGAAGACGCAGCCAAAGATGCTTTGTAAGGGGAAGCAGGATGGCTCTGGGGAAATCACCCCTTCACATTGTGGTCATGAGTGCATATTTCTGTGAGCTCACATAAAAATCCAATGGTGGGACAGTTGCCAGGCAGCAGATACTTTTGATGACCTGAATTATGAGTTGACACCCATAGATTGCAACTCATAAGCTGGCCATAACAAGGAACTTTTCTGTGCCTTGCTTTTTCTTTCTCTCTGTTTCTATGCATAATTTCCAATATGACTAAATAAAAGGGAAAGAATGAGCATCGGGATAGTTTAAGGAAGAAAGACAGCAGGTGGTAATATGGAAGAAGATGAGACCGTAGGAAAGGGCCTTTATGGAACCTGGGATTCTGGGGTCCTCTGCACCCAAAGAGGTGGTTGTTGCTGTTAAGATGTGTGTGGAACACTATTATTGGGCTTCTGATGACCCAAGAGGTGCCTTAGAACCTGCACATTAGTCGAAGAGATCCCCAAAACTGGAGGAAACAGTGACCTTTCAAAGTAAGATCTTCTAAGAAAAAAAATGGTCTCATTTTCCAACAGTTTTGAGAAGATATTAGAAGATGTGATATACCTCTCAGCTGTTTCTCAATTGAAACTGGGGTTCAGGCAATAGGAACTGAGGAACACTGACTCTGAATTAGAGGCCTTAGCTTGAGTTCACATACCCTTAGGTAGAAACCAAGATGAGAATGATTTATTCTGCTCCAATGGGGGGAAAGGTAACAAGAAAATAGAACTGAGCCCTGTGTTGTGGCCCAAGACACCCCCACTGAGCAGGACCACTGGTGACGTATGAAGAAGGAGGCAGCACAAACCTCCCACGGCCCCCCTCCTGGGGTACCTATGGGTAGAGAGAACACATCTTTCTGGCCACCAGCAGCTGATACAGGCAGTTAGGGAGACATTTTCCATAGGTTAAGTATATATCATTTTTCAGAAGTAAAGAGCATGTCTAGTTTTGGCAAGCTCAAAAGCGCCTAGTCCCTTTCTGGGCCAGATTCTCATCTGATGTAAATCTTTGGGAGAATCAAGTTGTAGCACTGTTTTGTATCAAGTGGGACTCCAGCCAGTCTTTCACCAGAGTTACCCTGGGCTTAAATCTACTACAGCATCTCCATGGCAACCAGCGGCTGGCCAGTGAATGAGGTTGCCTTCTAAATCTCCTGCTGGCTTCTCCTCCCTGCTGTCTTTCCCATGATTAAGAAAGCTCTCCTTCCCTTTCCCCTCACTCATTTCCCTCTCCTCTACTCTCTACGGCTCTGTGCCCACATTTTCTGTTGCAACTTCCCTCCCAATCTGCTTTCAAAATCCTCCATCCAATTAAAATAGAAGAAGAAGAAGAAGACGCATTAGTCATTGCTTGACAGGGATGATTGACCTGTTTAGACAAGACCAGGCTGACTTCAGTGGGCACAGAAGCCCTGGCAAGCTGAGGTGGAATTTACCTTCAAGTCTCGCCAGCCTAATTAATACATTCTTTGAGGATGCCAGCCAGCCAGCCCAAATATGGCATTTCCACCCATTTGGAGAATCTGCCTAATCCAATCCCTGTGTGTGTGTGTGTGTGTGTGTGTGTGTGTGTGTGTGTGTGTGTTTGGGGGGGATTTTTCTACATGTTATTGAGTCGTTATGGTTAAACAGGAAAGAGGCAGCTCTGCGATTGTACAGCTGTTGGTTGAATCCCACACTTATTACTCACCAGCTGAATAGCCACGGTTGATTGAACCTCTCTGAGCTTCTGTCTCCTCATCTGCCAAGTGGGTGTGGTGGTCTCTCCCCCACCAAGGCATGAGGAAGAGACAACATGGAGCCTTTAAAAGCGCTTGGCACACACCAAGGGCGAGCGCTCCCCGCTCCCTTCCCTGCGCGCCCCGAAGCATGTACCGTATGTGTCTATTTCTCTCTCCTTTTCTTTTTAAATTAATTTTCCATGAGTCCCGTGCTCTCGCCTAGCAACACTCTCTGTGTCTCTCCCCCAGGGGGCACCCTCCCGCCGGGGACCGAGCCCACGGTGGACACGGTGCCCGTGCCGCCCGTCCCAGCCTACTGGTATTACGTGGTGGCCGCCGGGGGCGCAGTGCTGGTGCTGGTCTCCGTCGCGCTGGCCCTGGTGCTCCACTACCACCGGTTCCGCTATGCGGCCAAGAAGACTGACCACTCCATCACCTACAAAACCTCCCACTACACCAACGGGGCCCCTCTGGCAGTGGAGCCCACCCTAACCATTAAGCTAGAGCAAGACCGCGGCTCGCACTGCTGAGGGCGAAGCAAGGAAGCACCCAAACAAACGAGAAAGACTGCAAACCCGTGGCCTCGATTTTGCACTTTTTTCTCCTCGCCTAGTCTTTGTGTGAACTCTCAGACAGCGCTCTCCCAGCCCGACCCCTGAGCGCCCCTGTCCACCCACCGTCCTCCTCGGATTCATTTTCTTCGCTTTTTTTCTTTCTTCTTCCTTTCTTTTCTCTTCTGTCTTTCTCTCTCTTTCTTCCTCTCTCTCCCTCTCTCCTTCTTCCTTTCTTTTGTGACTCCGAACCAACAAACCCCACCTCTAATGCTGCATCTTGGACAATGAGAAGGGACCATCCCTAAGCACTTCACCACTCATGGCTCAGCTGGTTTCCTCAGAGACTGGTCCTCTTGTCCCTCCCTTGCCTTACCCACCCCTCTTCGCATAGGCAGGCTGCCAGGCGTCTTGAGGGGAACCTGGCTCTGTGTGTTTGTACATAGTGAACACTCCTGAGTGTGACTAGCTCTGTGTGTGTGTGTGGGTGTGAGAGAAAGTGCTTTGTGGGGGGGTTATGAGTATGTGTAGAGAGGGCCTCTCTCACTCTTGTGTTACTTCTCCTGGGGTACATGTTACCACGAAATAATATCCTGTCCATGTTTTGTTTACTTGGAGAAGAGATTGAAGCTTTTTGTTGCCTTATCTAGCTCTGGCTGGGTTTCTGTTGGCTGTCATTGTCATCTCCAGGTACCTAGTAAAACAGGCCACGTGGACTGCAGTGTGGCCAGTCCCTTCCCATCCCCTGCCCAAGAGGAAGGTTTCCCACCCTCAGACGGGACCTCCTTGTCATGTCTTCTGGGGTCTTTGGAGTCCCAAGATAACGCCATTGGGTGTGTGTGGAACCATCTCTACTTCCAGCCCTGAAGCAAATCTGTCTCATGTTGCCTTATAAAAAAAAAGAAGCTCATAATGAATGTTCAGCTTTGATCAGTTAAGTCCAATCATGGAGTAAGTCATAAAGAATAACAGATCTGGGACTGGTACAGGAAAAGCAGTAGTCTGTTTAAATTGAGAGCAGGAGGAGGAGAGAAGAGGGGAGAAGGAAGGATGGAAATGGCTTTTCAAAGTCTCCTCACCCCAGGGGCCATTGCTCAATGTGGCATGGGGGTAAGAAAGTGAAAAACCATACTCTTTGATATTATATTGATCATTGTAATGGCATTTGTAAAATATGGGGAAAAGGGGATCATTTGTTTTCCTTTCATGGTGTTAATGTGTGCCTGAATCTATACCACTAAAATATAAGGCTGTCCACCTGACTTATTTAAATATTATGAGAGAATAGAAAGTAATGGTTTGTTTAAATGTTCCACTGTGCTACCCCTTAAAGCACTAATAGTGCCTGGCAAATACATCCTCATAGGCCAGCCTGGCATATCCAAATGTTGCTGCTTGGTCAGAGAGAAAGTAGAAGAAAGATGTATCTACTGCAGCCCATTTGTCCTCTTAAAGCAATGCAGAGAAAAGGATATCAGAAAGCAGTTGCCTAATGATACTGTGCAAAGTATGGATTACAATGAATTATCAGAAGTTTCACTGATAGAAAATGTGTATTTTAAGATTTTTCAGTGTAGCATACTAAAGCTCAGCCCTGGGGGCATTTGTTTTTTACCTTCCTGGTAGGAATCCACTAGGAAAGTGTAAAATTCTCTCAAAAGATGAGTTGCCTGTGTTGAAAGCCTCCAGGTACCTTCTAGAGCAAAATGCTAATGATTTTTTTTTTTTTTTTTGGTTGCTTGGGAGAAAGCCTTTTAGCATTCTTTTGGAATATCCACAATAGGTCCCTCCAGCACACAGCACACTCACGCAGTCCGCTTTCCCATCTGGTTCGTTTCATCCTCCTGAAAGAAGAGTGCTCTCCCACTCGTACTCTATTTCAAAGAGCTACTCAGTCGCAACCACAGCAGCCCCGCCAAGAGAAGGAAGGATGAGAGACTCAGGCCTGGCTACCTGAGGTTTCAGGAAGTGTTCTATCCCAGCTGAAGATGGAGAGGGAGGGGACGGGGTAGCAGCTCAGGATGCCCTGCAGTGGCTAGCACGGCAGCCACTGAGGGGTTTACATCACAGGTGTCCATGTCCATGTCCATGTCCACTTAAGCTTTTGGGGCCAGACATTTCCTCAAAGTGACTGACCTTCCTGTGGGTGCCCCATGGGGGCGTGGCATCAGGGAACCACATCTGGAAAACCAGCCGGGTTGCCATATTCCCTTGGGAATTCTCCATCTTTAAAAGAAGATGGTAACAACTCTGTAAGCTTGCTGTCTTTACCCCATGCCCTGGGCAGCAGCATATCATCTCTGTGTGCCTGCCATAGTTGACAGCATGAGGCTGCTCAGATTTTGGTGAGTCCTACAGCATACTTCAGCCAGAATCCTACAGCATTCTCTCCTCTCCCTTCTCCCCGCAACGCCAGCAACTCTCATAGTACTATCCAGGTACTATGCTAAAAGGGCAGCACTTCTGTAAAATGCCATAACTTGCAGCTTTACAAAGCAAAATTGTGTATTCATGGAGAGAGAAGAGTTTCTCTCTTCTTTAAAAAAAAAAATGGACTGGGCAGGTGAATGCATGCATGCATGTATTTAGAGTTGCTTCTCCAGAGAAAAGAGGTGAAAGCAACTATTAAAATATGAATGAGTGAATGAATAAGATGAAGGCCTAGCTCAGGCGGTAAAGCCTTTGCCTTAGTAGAGGTTTCATGACAAAATTTCCAGGAGGGAGCCCTTATCTTTGAGGTTAAAAAGAAAAAGCCCTTCCTTGACATTATACTAGCAACCTCATCACCTAATTGCTGGCCAAGGCAGAAAAAGAAATGGAAAAATTGTAGCACTGACAAAACAGGATGCTAAAATTGTCTGATCCTTCATCCTGACTTTTTGGGATTAAAACCAGAATAGGAAATGCAGTAATATTTCTGAGGTAGATCTCCCATCTTTAAAAAGACTTTATCCTTAAAGTGAAACTAGCAGGCAAGCAAACACCTAAAAAAATAAAAAATTACCAAAGAACAACATCGAAACAAGAAAACACAAAAATTTTTACTTCCTATTCTTATCCCCTCCCCCTATAACTGTGACATCCTTGCATTGCTCTGTTGCCTGTGTGTCAAAATAACTTGTGGATGTTGGAAACTATTTGAAAATGTATTGTGTGGAATGTAATAAAATGATGATATTTTTATACAAACATCTGGGTTTTTTTTCTCTTTGCCTGTGAGAACAAAGTTGAAGTGTAGGCTTTGAACAAATTGATGTTTCCAGAGTTTACACATTGCCTTCTGGGCTACAGGGGATTTCTGTGGGAGGTAGGTGGGTTTTTTCCTTAAAAGCTGAATGCCAGCTCTTCCTTCTTTTTATTTTTGTTACTGCTTGTTAGGAGTTTTATCCAATTTGTGCAGCTGAGCCAACTTTGATGATTGGTGTGGGATTTTGTGAAAGTTGCTAGGTGCTAAATTGCTAAATGTGATTCCACAAAATTTCTCTTGATGGCAAATCCCCTGAGGTTGGACTCTGCTTTCAAAGGGCCCCAGGAGGAGTGGACCAGCTAAGCTGAATCATGTATTCAGCTCTACCGAGACAGTTCACTTCCTTTGGCAAAGCAGTAGCAACATCTTATCCCCACCTTCCAAATTATTACTTCCACGGGGATGTTGATCTCCAATTTATGAGTGATTTCCCAGTGGGGAAAAAAATCAAACTTCTAGCATATTCAGGGCTCAGATATTCTAGACTTCATTTTTGAACAGATAATGAAGATAATTGTATGATTATTTGTGAACCTGGACTATCAGAGTGTAATGTTTCATAAAAGGAATATGAAATTCTAGAAGAACCTTGGGCCTGGGGCAACTTAGTCACAAAGCTTGATCTTGTTTAATCAGTGTTTTTCTTTAGTCCTCTTTGAACAGTTAGTGATCTGGTTTTAGAAAATATTTTAATCAGAGGGAGCTTTGGGAAAAAATATACAGAAAATACAATCTCTCAATGGTTCAAGGTTTATACACGGGGCCAAGAACTGGTCACAAAAGGGTTTTCCACAACCCTACATTCATGAAGTGATCTTAGGTCTTCCATCAACCCAAGAATTTTCCTTGGAGGCTCAAGGGCCGTCTTGAAAGTTTTCAAGGAGAGGCACATGCCCAGCAAACCCTATTTCTGCCAGGATCCTGCTTTTCTAGGTCTTATCCAAACTTTAATCCAGGAAGGATTACTTTTTATAGCCAGAAAGCCTCTCCAAGTGCCGCCAAAAAGAGAGAAGCTTCTGGTTTTCAGATCATACAGGAAATTATTAGTACAGGTGGTTCTGGAGAGATGGCGTTATCTGTCCTCTGCAAGAGAAGAGAATCAAATGTCCATGGCTAGAACTGCAGAACAATATTTGTTCGTCCAATGCCAAGCACAGTTACTTTTTGGGTAAACACTGACTTTCTTTGCAACCATCCGTTCCCATTAGTAAAGGCTAAAATGCAAGCATCTCAAAAGTGTTTCTTTTGAGCAAAGATCCAGGCTTAGTCAACATCTTCCTGAGCTGAACTAGAACCAAATTTGCCACACTGCATTAAATGAGCCATTATTCATGATCCATTAGCAGTACTGTTTTTGAAGCCACTTTTGGGACCAATGTCATCTTGATTCTAGTCCCGGGACTTATTTTAGGGATGTTGTTTCTCCTCCAAAAGGGCAAAGTCTGTAGATCTTCAATCTTACACACTGAACTGTGAACAATAAACATTCCTTAGTGTATTTCAAACTTAGCCCAAGCATAAATACTACAGAAGTTATGTTTCCATGGATCATAAATACCAGATGTCAAGGCCCAGCATGGTCTGTTTGTGTTCCTACCTTGTCCTTTATGATGGTTTAAATGTGTATTCTTGCTTCAACCACTGCCCTTCTAGGCCAGATACCCAAGCCCTAGCCAAACCAATGTGTTTGTTTTCCTTGCCTCTCTTCACTACCTCGGCAGCTGTTTTGCACACACATTGTGGCCGTTCTATAATCTGTGGTAAAAAGAGCTTCATTTTGAAGTTGTGATTTGTCTGCATTGTGGGCTGCACATCTAAGCCAGACTGCAGATCAGTAGGTGTGAGCTTGTTTTTTCTCTTTAATTGTGCAGAGCTCTGGGGCTGTCACAGCTGTAATTTGCCTTTCATCCACTTCATTGATGGCCCAAAGAAAACACAAAACACATCCAACCAGGGAAAAGAAAGGGAGAGGGGAACACCAGCTGATGATCTGACATCAGCAGAGGTGGGGTACTTTATATAAATAAGCTAGAAGCCAGGAATAGTGTAGGAGTTAATTAAACCTAACACAGATCGGGTGCCCTGGAGCATGTATAGAGGTCAGTTATAATCAGAAATTCACACCCTTAGGAGTCATCAGACCACAAACCTCAGCCAGAGGGTGTTTGCACTGACTGCTTACAGTTCTGTTTGGCCCCAAACCTAAATGGAAAAGATACCAGATTTGAGAAATCACCAAAGAGCGGGGGAGGCCCTTCTAGCATGAGGTGGAATAGTGGAGCACCAGGTAGCTTTGAGGGACAAGCAGAAGCCTCTCCAGCCCAAATACCAGGGGGAGGAGACCAACAAGCATCTCTGTGGAGTGAAGTAATTGTTTTGGGGATTTTCTGAGATTGACTCCTGCTAGACAAAGGAACTAAAGTAAATTTCCGTGGGCATGGGACCAAGAAATGAGAGGGACCATTGGAACTGTCGGCAACAGAGGCCCTGGCGGCAGAACTGGCTGTGGGGTGGGAAAAGAACTTTTCTTGGAGACACATTGCCAGAGTGGTTGTTGATTGGAATGATGCTGTTGAGAGAGCTTTGAGGATAATAACAAACTGCATTTCTCTTTCTTTTCAGTTCACAACTTATACATGACTACGTTTTCAGGAATAATACAGATTTCAGAATACATATTTCAGAATACAGTATACGGAATATACAATAAAAAATATACATTAATACATAAAAGCAAAAGTCCATTTCCTTGTCAACTAATTCCACACTTTTCCCAATAGGTAACACCAAATATGATTTGAGGCCTGGTTTCTAGGCCTTGCTTTATACATTTACAAACATACATATTCATGTCAAGTATGTGGTTTGGGTTAGCTGGGATTTTGTTTTGTTTTACATAAATGGTATGATAGTGTTTGTTTTCTTGATTGGACAACTTGCGTCTTTTCAATGTCTTGACAATGTCTTGAGGATACTTTAAGACACCCCAAAAGACTTACTCAATCCTTTTTAGCTGTTGGGTAGCACTCTGTATTGTGTCAATATGCCATGGTTTACTGTTTCCCCGCTAGTGAGCATTAAGGTTGTGTCTAGTTTTGTTTGTTTGTTTGTTTGTTTGTTTTATCATTATAAACAATTCTGTTGTGAACATCCTTAAAGTTGCCTTTTTAGGCACCTGTTTCTCTTGGATAGAATTTCTGGGTCAAGCGCCATTCCTGTTTTCATTTAAATAGGTACTACAAATAAGTGGCTGCAGTCTTGTCCCCATTTTGGAGAGTAACAGAAAGTAGAGGACATCCTGGATTATAACATCCCCTGCCACATTCCCACAAGCCGTAAGATCTCTGTGGCCATTGTTTTCTCTAAAATGGGCCTAGAGCTTGAAAGGGAAGACTTTAGCAGTTCTAGCTCAGGGAATTTTAAACTCAGAAAGTACTTCCCTTTAGATTTGGAGCTGCCAGCTTGTGGGGAACATGGACCTGGCTGTAAGTGGAAGCTCTAGCAAAGGAGTTAATTCTGTCCCTGGCTTCTGCAGACAGAGTCTTGTTCTCTATGATTAATGAGTTCCACTTGGTTTCTCCAAACAGTGACTGTGCTGTGCCTGGCTGTTATTTATTTATGTTTTCTCTTTAAAAATTCATGTCAAAAACATCCTTTAAGGTCAGCGTGCAGTTCTGTGCAGCAGGCTCAGGTAGGCACAGATGGCAAAAGAAAGTCTCAACTCCTTGGGCTCTTGGGACCCACTACCCACACCAGTCCTGACAGGAGCAGACCTTCTGGGCTGAAAGAGGCATCTGGCTTCCTTCCAAGGAGGGTCAGGCCTACTCCGACCAAAAGGAAGGTGCTGAGCAGCCAGGCAATAAAGTTGTTTTCTAGTGGGGTGTTTGTATTTGTCAGCAACTCCACTGGCCCCCACCTGATTCCAGCCAAGAGTGGCAGGAAGAAAAGAAGCAAAGAGACCTGGTAGTCCAAAACACCATTTCTAACAAGAGCACAGCCCTGACTGCTGTAGAGTGCTGAGACAAAAAGTTCACAGTCGTGTGACATGACTCTGGGTAGTGGCTATAACTATACATGTGCTTTGTGGACTTTCTCTGGCCTGCCCAAAAATCTAGGGCTGCTGCTTCTTGGATATGGGACTCGAGTTTACAACTGGGAAAGAAAGGGGTGTGAGCATGAGGTCTAGAGATGTCAGCCCACATACACAATGCCTTGTTTCGTATTCTCTGCATAGTGGTGCACAATCGAGCCCTTTTAATATCATTAACTTGCATTCCTCCAAGAAAAGACTCTGGTCCAGAACTGGAACCACATTATATCAGGCCTTGGCTTTCAGCAACAGTAGTTCCTCACACTGGCCCCAGGACTCATTAGCAGGCTGCCTGGACTAGAGCTCTCTGTGACTTGTTAGAAGGCAGTCAGCTCCTGTAATGAAGGGAATGTGGAGGCAGCTTTGCGCCAGAGGTGGCCCTGACCAGAGTCCAGTTTTCAGCTGGTCTGCTGGTTACTGAAGCTTTGTTTTAGTACAAAGAAACTTTGTGTCCCTTTGAGTTTTCTTACTACCAACAAGAGCCTTGGAGAAGGGACATAAATATTTAAGAGGCTGGTGAGCACCTCCCATTGCCTCTGTCAGGCAGTTCCAACAGCTGGTGTAGAGGAGGAGAAGACAGGTGTTCGAGTCTCAATGGGGGGCCAAGGTGAGTGTGAGGAGTCCCAGAGCCATCTCCTGAACCACTTGGAGATCAAAAGTGTGACCCCAAAATCAGTGTGCTTAGGAAGGCCTGGGCCTGTAACACTACCATCGCTTTAGGGCTCTACAGTTCCAAATGAGGCCTCTGTCCCCAAAGGGAGCCCTGTCTCTCTCCCTCTGCCCGTGCCTTTCCATAGGTATGGCTTGTCTTCAACCTCCACCCTCCCCTTCCTGTGCTCACCCATCTTGATG